AATGGGATGGCTATCTCAAATCCCTTACATAACATCAAGTAGGAGACCTACAAATATTTATTTATGTATTTATTTACTTAGTAATGAAATCAAATACCTATAGAAAGATCTCTATTTAAATCCAGGTAGGCCATGATTCAGAGTCACCTATTAATGCCATTTACTGCCTTTGTCCTCTGGAAAAGTCATGAAGCTTCTCTAAACCTCTATCTCCTTGCTGTAAATTATAGATATTAGTAGTACCTACTTTATGCAAGGGTTTTGAGAGTTAAATGAAAAATGCACATATAGTACTAGTACAGTGTGTGGAAAATAAATACTTCCTACTATTGATGTTATTTGCTCCAAGTAAACATGAAAATAATTAGGATCCTGTTGATTTAGTGGCTAAATCTAACATGTTTGGTGCTAAAATATTACGGAATACAAACAGCAGAATAAAAAATAAATAGCTTCTATGATGTCCTCAAACTCTGGAGTCTAGTGACTCTGAGTTATACAATTACGAATTATATTTTTAATATGTATCCAATCACAAACAATTTTAAGCACAATGCTAATGTATTTTTCAATTTTACCTTTTTATTTCATTTTATTTTATTTTGAGACTGAGTCTCACTCTCGCTCAGGCTGGAGTGCAGTGGTGCGACGTCTGCTCACTGCAAGGTCCCGGGTTCACTCCATTCTCCTGCCTCAGCCTCCCGAGTAGCTGGGACTACTGGCTCCCGCCACTAAGCCCGGCAATTTTTTTTTTCTTTGTATTTTTAGTAGAGACAGGATGGTCTCGATCTCCTGACCTCGTGATCCCCCCGCCTCGGCCTCCCAAAGTGCTGGGATTACAGGCGTGAGCCACCGTGCCCTGCTCAATTTTACCTTTTTTAAAAATAGATTCATAGCAGCAACCTGGTGGCACTCAAAAGCAATGAGACTCTAGTGTCAATTTCCTTAGTTTTACTTGAGCATCAATATGACAAATGCGGGGGCAACTGTTTTACTGATGTTGAGAAAATGAAAGTAAAATTACCATTGAAACAAATGGAAGTTGATGACTTCTCCATCATATTACATGAGATAATTGTTAAACATCATTTCTTTGGGGATGTGATTGTTCGAGTCCTATTGACATCAGTGAAGATGCCTTCGTTATCTGATTGTCCTGACTGTTCATGCAGTGAAACTTAGGAAGTTTTTCTGCCAGTACACAGCAGCAGTTTAATGAGTTTAATGCTTTTGCTCTTTCAAAACCAAGATTTTTTTTTTCTCTAAACGGCCAAAGGCAGTAATGCCACATTGCTATCCGATTATTTGGTTTAAGAATCGAACTAAACTCTTAAGTCCAGTTATATCTTTTTGACAGATTTTGAAACACACCACCAGAGCTACACTACAAACTGTCAGAAAAAGTTGTGTTTCAATTGTGTAGCCTCCCCAAGGCCTGGTTACCATTTGGTATCCTTAACTTACTTATTGAATTTTCACTCAAGTAGTCTGGGTTTCTGAGAATTGTCAAACCTCTCTATTAGCAAGAAAAGCTTATCTGTAAAATGGCAATGAAAACACGGCTCAGTCAGAATTAGGACAATTCACTAATTTTTACCTCTCACATGGAGTATATGTCATATTTGGACATAATCTTCAGTTGGCTCAGAATAATCAATGTCTGGAGAGTTCTTGGTGGAATAAGTACAGATAAAACAAAACTGATCTTTTTTTGTCAAATTTAAGTATTTTGTTTCAGATCACTATGAATATTGCAAAATGGTTTTGCAGATTATATTAATAGGTTGTAGTAGTTTTCTAAACAGAGGAATCTTTTGGAATACATTATTTTCTTAAAAAACAGGACAGTAATTCTTTTATACATTTTCGACATTCTATTTTGCTGGCAAATATATAGTGTGTGTGTATGTACACACACGGGGAATATATATAATATATATGGATATCCATACACATGTGTCTATGGATATATATATATATATGGATATATATGTGTGTGTACATATATATGGTTTCTTAAATTCTGTCCCAAATGTAATTTTTTTATAATGATCAATTACTAATAGCCCTAGAATTCAAGTAATTTATGGATTATGGATATCCTAGATATAAATTAAACAGAGCAAGCCAAGCTGCCATATATGTGGCTAAATGTTTGCTTAAAAATAACTCTTTTTTAAACAGGATATCGGTAGATTTGCACTTGTAGAACTGCATTTTAGAGAATATATAGGATAATTATCTTATTATACAGATATGAGGGTACTGTACAAATGAAGGCAGTTAACTTCCCCATAGTCACAGCTATAGCATCAAAGCCACCATTATCCTCATTCCCAGTTCTGATGATTTGCCATTAGTTCATGCTACCAAACATTTATTTATTTTTTTAGAGACAGCACCTCGCTCCGTTGCCCAGGCTGGAGTGCAGTGGCGCAGTCTGGGCCCACTGCAATGCCTGCCTTCCAGGTTCAAGTGATTCTCCTGCCTCAGCCTCCTGAGTTGCTGTGATTACAAGTGTGCGCACCAGCAAGCCCAGCTAATTTTTGTATTTTTAACAAAGGCAGGATTTTGCCATGTTGTCCAGGCTGGTCTCGAACTCCTGTCCTCAAATGATCCACCCATCTCAGCCTCCCAATATACTGGGATTACAGGCACGAGCCACAGCGCTTAGTGCCCAATCATTTATTAATTCCAACTTTGTCAACCCAAGCTGGTGTACACAGCAATGAAGTTAACAGAGAAGAGTTCTGGTAATCACTCACCAATTAATACTTTTCTAACACTCTCTCTACATTTCAAAATGTTTCAAAATTAATAGAATGAGAATTCAAAACAAATCTACAGTCTGAAACTTTTTTCTCTAAGAATAAAAAATGACTCTAGAAAAAAATTAGTTTTCAAATATGACTTTCTTTCAAGTAATTTTAGTGGTAAATGTGGTAGAAAAGATAAAACTGAAAAGGAAAATATTTTGTACTTTAACAGTGGGGAGTTTAATTTTGGTAGGTGTAACCTTCTTTATTTTAACCTCAAATACACAACCAACTGGTAGAAGTTCCACAGTGTTACTATTTTTATATATTTGCATACATGGATATACCTAAAAATACATACATACAAACATATGCAGAAAAATAAGAGAAAAGACAAAAATTGTCCTTAGGAAATTTCATTTTTGTTCTGTATGTGAGTCCTTCCTTCATATTATTTCTGTGTTAATTCTCAACTTCAAAGTTCTTTTACATTTTGTTTAAAGATCATGACCTCTATACTTTTATACTCTTCTTCTCTCCTTTAAGTATGCAGATGTCTCTCCAAAATTCCACAACTTCACACTGTGGCCACTGGCAATAAAATGCAGTGATAGAAAAAAAAAATTATCTGGAGTGCTATGTGGTTACGATATTAATACTTTCTGTCATTTTTATTCAGGTGCCTGAATGGTGTACTCTATAGCTTGCTTGATATTGAATGATAATATGACTATTCTAATTAAAATGTGTCAGTCCAAATAAACATTATGGAATATATAATAATTTTAAAGGAAAATTGAATAAGATGATTTGCTTTTCTGCCAGTTGCTGGGGTGTATGTTATTATTTAGATTGAAAAAAAAAAAAAAAAAAAAGCTTTTGCTATATTCTGATGATTTGGCATGAATTAGTGAAAACAACAGCCTTTTCAAGAAATTCTCCAGAACCTCTTTGGCTACTTTTGACCAATCATCTCAGAAAAGAAATGGAAGAGACAGAACAAAGGAAGAATAGTTGCTTAATATTTATTCTATGTCGGGCAGCATAATTTGAAATATGCAGTCTATAGCTCAACATTTACATTGATAGAAATGTAACATATGATGCATATACCCTAATGTCTATCAGTTTATTTTATCAGATTATTAGAGGATAGTGTGACACTATAAAATCAGCTGTTTTTTTGCCACATAGAGTAAATATCCAAAATACTCAGCATCTCAAAATCAGATAATACATACCGGTTTCAAAGAGCTTTGCTGAGTAAAATATACCTTGTTCTTTATAACTACCTGCTCTCAGTCTTCCTTCCCCTCCCTCCCTCTCACTTTAGATCAGCAGCATGGGTATTTTTTAAAAAGCAAATATATATATATATTTATATGTATATATAATATATGTATATATATGTCTATATACACACATATATAGATAGATAGAGATATAAAAAATAGCATTGACAGTGTCTATAACTCCTAATTATTTAGCTCTCTAATCTTTTGAGACAAACTTCATTTTTGCAAATGACTGGGTGGAAAACTATGCAACTCCTCCTACTACTCTCTTGTTGTTAATTCCAATATGGTGTATGAACATATATCTAGGAAGTTTGCTTTCTAAATAGGTTACAGCAGAGCCTAAAATCTGTTCAACTGTGTCGGTGCCCTGCAGCAGTTCTCATTTATTTCACTTGAAAAGACTAATTGCATTTTTTTGAAGTTGTGCAAAATATTAAGCCAAAAGAAGCAGAAGTTGATCTAGCATAAAGAATAAAAAACTGAAGCAAAAATTTGGAAATTATCTTCAGAGTTACCTGCTGGTGTGGTATAGGCAGGAATCCAGAAGAGAAATTGCTAAGAGGGTGCAGGGGAGTTTTGTATCCTTTAGGAGAGAACAGATGGGTTGAAGTTGGACTGTTTTGTGTCCGGGCAGTATCCAAGAACTACAAGACAATTAACATGAATTCCCAACACTTAGAAACTGTGCTTGAGGAAATGCTTGACAACCAAGGTCAGCACATAGGCCTAGAGAAAACAGCAGCATGGCTACCGGGTGGAACAGGGAGCATGTCCAGTGTGGAGTGAAAAGCTGTAGCACCCACTAAGCCATTTGTCCTGGGAGTTTCAATTATTAGCAGTTTCCTCTACATGGTTTGTCCTAAGCGAGGCTGGAAAAGAAGCACTTAGCTGACATGGTTGGTCATCTATTGAGTGGAAACAATAGCTTTTAACTTTTTTTTTTTTTAAAGTCCCATCAGTTTAATAACAATAAAAAACCCCAAAAGTGGAAAACTGAGGGGGCAGGGGAAGAGACCCCTGGGCCAGGGGCACGAGGAGCCCTGCTTATGGCACCAGGCCTGGCGGCAGGGTCCCCCGGTATTGCTGTTGCTACGAGGTCGGGGGGCAGCCATTGTCCTGTGGGAGCCACCGTTCGCCTGGGTTGGGGACCCTCACTTCTTCTGGGGTGTGCTCAGCTTCTGCATGCCCCGGATCTTGTCCAGCAGGCCAGAGATGAAGGCCTCTGTGGGTTTGTAACAGTCAACCAGCAGCTCCTTGACCCTGGCAGCCCGGGCATCATCACTCTCCGTGTCCAGGAGCTCATCCACATCAATCTCCAGTTCTGGGATCTCCTCTTCTGGCAGTCGTAGAGGCGCGTAAGCTGCTCCAGGATCCACTCCTCTAGGTTGAGGCGCTTCCGTAGTTCCTTGAGGTCATACTTGACGGTGACCTTCCCTTGGCGCCTCACTGGGCCCTCATCGTCCGCGCCACCTGGGCCCTCTCCTGCGGTTCCGGGGGGGGCTCTGAAAGTAGACGCGTGGTCCTGGGCCGCCACCTGCCCGGCCCAGGGGGCGGGGCCGCCAACGCCGCGCCCCCAGCCGTGCCGCTTCCGTCGCATGGCGCCGCCGGGGCACGTGGGCGCGTTGGGCCCCTCCCTGCGCCGCCGCCTCCGGGACGCCCGCCGGCTGGCTCGGGTTAGCATCGCCGGCTCAGCTCCGCGCCGGCTCCGCGGCGAGGCAGCGGTGGGGCGCCCGGGGCAGCTGCAGCATGCGGAGCCGCGGGCCTGGGCCTGGCCGCCGGCCCCCAGCTTTTAACTTTTTTTTTTAATCAAAATTACGTCTCTCAAATCCTTCGTGTGCTTCATGGAAACTCACAGGAGGCCACCAGTATAATGGTTGACAGTCTTTTTCCACCTCAACGTTTGAGTTTCATTTGCTCCTTCTAGAAGTTTCCGTTCAGCAACATGACCTGCGTTATTTCATGTCCCACACCTAAGCTTCTTCTTCATAGTTCTGATTCCGTCCAAGAGATTTCTTTTTTTAAAAAATTAGCTAAGAGAGTTTGTAATACATCCACACAAATTGAATGTGGAACTATAAAAATTAGCAATTTTAATAGAAAACTATACTCGAAGGAATGTCCCAACTAAAAGCAATAAAGAGAGCACAAGTGAAAATATACAAAGTAATTACATGTATATTGGATAGAAGTTATGTACTAAAATATGACTTGCACAGACTGCAGAGAAGAGAAAAAAATATCCTGGAATAAGGTAATTTTTAATAGTAAAGATGAGGATAAAGTTGGTCACTAAAAAAGCCCTTTAAACTGGTTGATGTCTTATGAACTCATATCTCACATACCAGGAAGAGACATATTAACGGATTATGTTCTGAAAAGTCCCTGGGTTTAGCCAATTGATCACACACTGAATCTAATAACTTTAGTCATACACACCCTACCAAATAAAATAACACACAAAAAAATTCTAACATCCAAATTTAGTTTCACATTTTTTCTAACTAGTCTTTTGTTTCCACCCAAAAAGTTTTAGTTAAGGTGTCAATAAGTCATTTCATAGTCTTAGTACATTTACTCCCTATAGAAACGCAGTACTAAATGTTTTGATTTAATTTAATGTAACTTAATTTAGGAGAGCAAGTAATTAAACATGAGGCCAAAGTACTGTAAGAAAGTGGCAGTCTTTTAATTGCCAAATATGCACACACTCTCTGGCAAAAGTTCTCTGGTCCTCAGGTGTGGGGGGCCAGGGAAGTCCACGCCCAGCGCCTCTGGGGTGATGTTCTCCGGCCACAAATGCGGGGGCGAAGAAGTCAGCCGGCTCCTGCCGGCAGCGGACTTTTATGCCTGGGAGCTGGAAGGGGAGAGTTCAGGGCGTGTGTGTAGGGTGAGCTTCTTGAATTTCAGTGTCCCGGCTTGACGTCATTCTGCCGCATGCTCAGTTGATTTGGTTCTTTCCCCGGGCGCGGGAAAATCTGTGATGAAGAACCGGAAACAACAGGGACTGCTCCATCTTGTTCACCTTCCTCCATCTTGTCCCTTTTCCTTCACCCAAACACTAAAAAAATTTTGTTCGTTTGTTTTGCCAAGGTTTGAAACATTTGTAAGGTATTTATAGAGAGAAAAGTACCTATTTCTGTAAGCTAATAAACACAGCAGCTGCATCTTTAAGGTTTCATGTGGCACGCATTTAACTCTTAAGTAAATGGTACCTTAGAACATAATAGGCTTCTATGACTAAGTAATTTTAAAAATTTTTGTTTCTCAGAGTATTCTAAAAGTTAAGTTCCAACCATTCATAAAATGTATTTGGATACTGCTTGCCATGGTTCAGGTCTTTAACGAATGTTTAATAAGATCTGATACTGAACTGACACAAACAAATTCTAACAATGCAAAATTAGAATCAGATACAGTAACATTCACTCATTGAGATTTGAGATGGATAACACCTGAGATGTTTCTTCTGTCCTATTTCTTATGCTTGAATTGTTGCCATAATTAACTGTTTTTATTGATATGCTCATTAATTTACTTCATTGCTTCTGAAAGAACAATAACACTCTGACAAAGTCATTGAAACCAGTTAATAGAACACTGAAGTGTTGATACATATCTCATCAAGTATCTGATGTATGAAGTGAGATGGGAAGTAATTTGGTAATTTATAATTTTTTATATTGTCTCTTCTTATTAGGCATTTTTAACATTACTTTTTTGCTTCCCTTTCTGTTTGTCAAGATCTGCTATTTTCTCCCTCCCACACATTTCTTTATGTCTCTGTCTTTCTCTCTCTCATACACACACATCCCTCATTTGTAAAATAATCACAATTACTGTTTATACATCGACAAAACTGAATTTTTTCCCAAATATCAACTTTTTATTAGATCCTATCCCTTTGGGTCCTCATGAATTTTTGTGCATTAGGATCAATTATGATACTCAAGGTATTTTTCTCTTGTCGTTTTGACCAAAATAAAATGTTAATTCTACATTTTATTATATTCTTATCTCATGTAGTTCCTTAACTACTACCTTATAGTTTAAATAAGAGATTTAATGTGATATTTCAAAGTTTCTTCTGTCCATCCAAATTATATGCAAAATGTTGATGTGATTATATGTGCATTATTATAAATTCCATCAGTCTCACAAAATTTTCAAAGCTTTTGGTTGTTGAACTTTTATGACTAACTTACATAACAGGTAGGGACTGCTAACAAAATTATAAACTGAAATATCCCTCAATTGGCCAAGTAATCACATACTGAATCTAATAATTTTCATTATATATACTTATAAAAAGAAAACATACAGATAGTTATTCTAGCATCCTAAATAGCTTCATGTTACTTCTTATTGGTGTGGTTTTTTTTTTCTTGTTATAACTAGCAAAAAGTTGAAAACTACAGGTTAATCTTAAATACAGCAAATGTAGCTATCAATGATAGCAAGTATGCAAGAAATTATTGAGGATATGAATAATGAAGGAGATAATATACAGAAGGAAACAGAAATACTTGTCTACTTAATTTTGCTGAAAACTTTTTAATGATTTATATACCACCATATAAGCTTTTTTTGTTCATGTATGTACTATTAATGGTAGCCACATTTTTTAAAAATATATGACAATCTGAGGGAGAATGTTATTTTTTCCATTAGAACTCAAGCTATTAAATCCATTATCCATTTTTGTTTCCCTGTCAATGCAATCTGTCTCTTTGCTTTGCCCCTATTAATGCCACATTGAAAAATTGAATCTGTTCCCTAAGTTAGTCTCTAACCTCTTTTATTATTTGAAAGAGAGTTTAGTGCTTGGAAACTTGCTCGGGGAAATAGAATTCCCTTCCTAAAATTTTCCATTGCACAAACATCAGTATTGCAAGCATGTTCACTAGTGAGCCTCTGGCCTGCTTTTGAAGAATTACTGAACAAAATGACTGAGGTCAATATAGGGTTTCTCAGAGGCTCTGCTAATTCATATGTTACAGGACGCTGATCCCTTCAGACTAAACGAAAAGCCACCGCTTTCTAATACCCACTGTGTGTGGGGGAAGTGGAGGTGGGAGACAGGATGGGGAGAGATTGTCTGTTTGGTCTATGGGCTGTGTAGCACTAAAGAGAAAAAACTTAATAAACTCAATGCCAGTTTCAGATATCTTAAAATACATTTCTTTTTTGTCCCAAATGTATTCTGTTTTTAATATTAAATTATTTTATATATTTCTTGACAAAAGTATTGCTTATTATACATAATTTGCAAACATTAGATGAGCTAGAATAATCTGAGTGCTCAGCTCCAACATGTGCAGCGGATGAAGTAATCTAAAAAACAAATCAACATTTTTCCTCAGATGAATAAGAAAATAGGGTAGGCACATTAGCAGATTTCATCCACCTCAGCCACCCTAAACTCTGATTTCTGTCTCCTGGTCTGTTCAACTCACTGAGACCACTCTGGTCTGTGTTGGATTTCCCTGCCTACATCATGAGTTACCAGGTTGGACTGATCCTCCAGGCAAAAGGCCGGGGTGTTTGTAAGACTCACAGCACTTGAAAGGAACATTTTCCCACTTTTGCATTTCCTGCTCTCCAATGTCTAAAAAGAGTATTTTCATATATTTTGTTTAGTTTTCTACATGTTTAAAATGGGAAAGTAAATCGATTCCCATCTACTCTCTCGTGAAAAGAAGCTGAAATCCCTACCTTTGTTTTTGTATTGGAAAATTTTAAATTGAATTACATGGCCGAGCATGGTGGCTCACACCTGTAATCCCGGCACTTTGGGAGGCCAAGGCCGGCGGGTCACCTGAGGTCAGGAGTTTGAGACCAGCCTGACTAATGTGGCGAAACCCTATCCCTACTAAATACACAAAATTTAGCTGGGCATGGTGGCCTGCGCCTGTTATCCCAGGTACTCAGGAGGCTGAGGCAGGAGAATCTCTTCAACCTGGTAGAAGGAGGTGGCAGTGAGTTGAGACCATGCCACTGCACTCTGGCCTAGGTGACAGAGTGAGACTCTGTCTCAAAATAAATAAATAAATAGATAAATAAATAAGTAAACAAACCTCTTATTAAAAAGTACACAAATTATAAATTCAAAGATTAATTTTCATAAAAGAAACAAACTCATGTATATAGCAGAGTAAGAAATAAAATATTAACAACACCCCAAAGCCCCCGTATGTCTCTTTTTAATCATTGTAAACACCGTGCTGACTTTTAATCCCATTGATGAGTTTTGCCAGTTTTTGAACTTTGTAGACAGTTCACACTCTCTTAGGCCTGACTTCTTTTGCTCAGCATTAGGTTTCTGTGTTAACTGTGTTGTGGCATATGACTTATTCATCTTATTGTTGTAGAATATTCTTCTCTATTCAATTTTAGATATACACCACAAAAATGGAGCAGTTTTTAGTTGGGACCTATTACTAATTATGTGGCTACAAACATTCCCATATGCTTCTTCAAAAACTTATATTCATATTCTAGGTATATATCCAGAAATTAAATTGTTGCATTACCAGTTCGTTTAATGAATTCGTACTGCAAAATAATTATGCGGAGTAATTTTTCTATAAGTCCATTAACAATGTATTATACTTCCATTTGATCTACATCCTCAGTAACACAAGGTATTTTCAGTTTTTTTCAATTGTTAGATATTT